GATCGTGGTAGAATGGCGATGGGGGGAGACACGTGGGACTCGGTGCGTGAGGATTAGCTGGAGGATCTGCATGGGGAGGGCGCCGTAATCACCCTGGATCGTTGGCAGCGGAAGGTTGAGGAGGCGGGGGTAGGGACACGAGGTGAGAAACTATGGATGGGGCGAGAGAGGATGACAAGAAGGTGGAGGGATAAGTGGGGGCAGCGGCGAAAATATAAGACACGTCAAGACGACGGGGAGACATCAAGAAAGTGAGCGAATGGACACGTGGGAACAACTTCTCGTATTGCTCGTAGCGACGACGGCATGGATTGTGGGAAGATATAAGGTTCAGTGGATCGCAACAATAGCGCGGGCGATTCGTCTTATCCCGGATGGACTAGACATCATAGGCAGATTGACAGTTCGGGGAGCGGCACGAGGAGGGCAGGCAGCGATAGACGGAATTACGTGGTTGTTGGCAATAGTGGCTGGTGCAATAATCGTTCGGATAGGAACGACTCTAGGGACAGTGTGGACAGACTTCACACTACGTACTGGTCATCATTGGATGACCTTGCTGACTGGAGGACTGATCACTGTCCTGGGAACACTTGGTCTTCGCTATCGCCGGGCGACGACACACAATAGATCCTCGTCACGACGAGCATTGGCTCGACAACAAAGATCGATACATCAACAACTGCCATTGGTGGACCGAGAAGGCGCGCGGATACATCGGCCACAAACACAGCAAGAAGACACGCGRACACGATTTCCGCCGCCGACCCCTGAAGAACCGATTGCAACCGCCGCTCGTGATACCTCCACGACATTACCTGGGACACAGCCTCAACAGGTGACTGACCAAGGAATGCGGACAGCTGGAGAGACGACTGGGCCACRAGCGAGAAGCTGGGGACTGCCGGGGGGGGTATTCACGGACTCGAGTAGCGTAACGGACACGCACGCATCCACATCGGACGGTGCCTGCGCAGATGTGGATAGTGAAGAAGAGCAAAAATTGCGGCGCGGACAGACAAGTCATCCTGCGCCTGGACAGCTTACAATAACATCGCCACATCCGAGGGCGTGGAACGAGGAGGCGGTCGACTGACGCTTCAAATGGCGGCAATGGGAGGGTGAGATCAGGGGGGGCAGCAGCAATCGGAATGGGAGAGATTCAAAGAGGTTCGCAAAGCCGCGCTGACAGGGGGACCTTCATCAAAAGGAGAACGGCACGATGCAAAGCGGAAGGAAACACGATTTGCATGAAGATTGGCCCGGAGATGGCGAGGGTGCATGTTACATACCTGCGTGCACATATCGTCATCATAAGATTTGGCGGTGCACTGAATGAGTGCTCCGTGGGAATGAAAACAGATCTCATTCGGGGATGGGAAGACACGTGGCCAAATATGGCGCGCGACAGACTCCAAGGGAGGATCACGGTAGACAACAATGGGGTAGCCACGTATTGGGCACCGACGGCGCTGTTACGGAACTGGATGATAGATCGTCGGACAAAGGAGGAGGTGGTGATCGATGGTAAGACATGCAGGGCACGTTTCTTCGCCTGGGAAACGCCGGTGGAAAAGGAATGGAACCACATGATGGAGAAGAAGAACCACCCGTGGGTCAAGTTTATCAATCGTTCGGCTTTGACAAGGCCATACCTACACATGGCAGCAAACCAAGTTTTCAGGGAGGTAATCAATGATGACGGAGAACAGAGCATCGATGAATATGGGAAGGAAGAGATTTACTTTCAGCTTCGACCTCCACTTAGACAAATCGGTCTTCAAAGACTTGCTATCTGCCTCCATTGCTACGGCCGACCGGAAGTGCGATACCTCACCAGTGAAACGCCCTGGTGCACATTATGCCGGAGACCGGGCCATCTGGCGGTACATACACACTGCCTCTCTGCACACGAAACGCAAAGAGAACTAAATAGAAGGGAGGTAAAGCTTAGAGATGATCCGGCGAGACCACATGATGTTGGGGAAGAGATCGACGCGTGGGTGTGATTTGAAAGGGAATACGACTATGTGGTCAGCGCGRAATTGCTATTGGAAGGCAGCTTGGGTGACGTGGCAGGGGCATCTAATACAAGATTCCTGCCGAGGATGCAGATASATGAAGGAGCATCCAAGGACGCATCACCCCGAATCTCGGAACACGCATCGAGACACTCTTCGCTGACAAGACGGAGACGACATGATGGAGCGGCAACTGCSGCACACCAYCAACAGCAAGACGACCTACCAGGGACTGGGGTTCGCAGGAAYGAACCGCCACTGCCAGTGAATGGGCAGGTAACAGGCGAGGGGGGAAGACAGGAAGTAAGAAAGGAAGAGAAAGAACGGATGGAGATACCACGAGGAGAGAGGCAAGAAGTACCAATACAGGGAGGAGAGGGGGGCGATAGAAGTATGAACATGCAACAAGAAAGAACGGAACAAGCGCAAGGAGGGGAGGAGGGGGACGGGGACGACGAAATGGACACTTCGTCCTCGCCGTCAGAACAGGATCATCCGCTGGTGAGACGGAGACATGGAACGATGGAAGTGATCCCCCCCATGGATCGAACGACAGAGGACCGTCAGACCTCAACAAAGAGGGTGACAACGGGGGAAGGACAAGAGCACATGGATCTCGTACCGGGATTGTCGCAAATGGAGGTGGAGGAGCCAGCTGGACCGGAAACATCGCAGGAGGAGGGTTCTCCACGACAAGGTGGTACAAATAGGGAGGCGATGGTTATGGAAGATCCGCGAGATTTCACAGCGACGGATGCAGGAATGAATGGAAGTGCGAATCCGCACTCAACACAGATGGAGGACACTCAACATCAACAACATCACGACTCCAGACAGCAGACGTTCACGGGAACAGGTCATGAGAAAGGAAAGATACAACTATGAGAGGAGACGGAAGTGCCAAATCAAGCTTGGACAACAACTACGGGTTGCCGACCGAATACGAACGCTTGCATGGTAACGCTTCCCTCAATCACATCCACTTTCACCCGCGCGATCGCCCATASGACTGCACATAATGCATTTGATCCAGTTGATATCTCACACCGGGACCGCTGCCATGGTTASTGTTTGGGTTTGTCTGAGACAGTGCATCACMTCAGATCACTCCCGCAGAACATTAGGACAATCTGGACTTCCCAGGAGAATAATACGTGGTACGGACTATGGCAGGCTGCACATCCACAYGACAACCCACCGCAATTCCCCTCTCAACTGCCCCCCTCTGCACCCCGATCATACCGCCCGGGGGTGGGGTGGGAAACACAACACTGTTGCTCGATTCCGCTTCCCTCGACGATCATTACTCAACCCAACACAGTTGCGACTCTGCATATACGGTCYGTCATCTCRTCACAGATCCCAATCACCACGACGACAACCACAATCACCCCTTCGCACACCCACCCACCGAATGCTGCCACATCTCACTCAATGCCCCATCACGGACCGTCCACGATAAATACACAACACACCACAACCACAACATCACCAATCGCTACACAAACACACTCATCACCACCCCACACATCCCGCTTACTAAACAACCAAGAAATCACCACGGTGGACCAGATATCTACACTCGTGGTGGCAGTGCCGGCCGCTCAACTGCCACAACAGGAAGGACTTCGGCACTGCACAGGGGAGGTCTTTAAGTCGTCAGACAAAAGTATGGCGACAATAGTTTCCAACACCACACAATCTACTTCGCACAACACTCGTAAACGACCCAGATCACGGAAGAAAGGCAGGAAAGACCGACAATCAAGACGACATCAAGAGGCTCAGAGCCGAGATCGTCTTCACAGAATCATCATTTCCTTTGAAGAGGAACGGTCACCATCGCTGAAAAGAAGTAGACCACCGATAAGTTTGGGGCTGCTCACTGTCCCCAGTTGGCACACTCATCCCTCCCCGCGCCCAATAACATTACACTCAGGAGGTCCACCTCCTCCGACAACCGCGATTCTCGCCACACCTTCGCATCCATCACAGCCACCGCTCACACACCAAACACCGGTGCTGCAGTCACCGCTACAAGCAACCTCCACCCCACAACAAGCACAAACGAGCCGCATACGCCTTCAATCACCGGATCTGGCACGACGAGGATCACAAGAAGATGAGGATGAGAATCMACCGGATAGAACAAGGGAAAGGAACACTGATCCCAGGGAAAACRAGTCTATACATACGCGCACAAGGATGGTAGTGTTAGAACAAACCTTCGACCAGCTGCGTCAAGCAGGAAGGCTTAAAWWACTGYCATTACTATTTCGATTCCAAATGGGAAGAATGGAATTACTGACTACCACTCAGGACACGGTGGGGGATGGTTTGCGCATCCCGTTGACAGACTTTGAGGACCACCCGTCCTCACAGCGAGCCATTGCACAAGCGAAGGAATGGACAGAAGGACGCTTCCAAATCACTCCTATTCATGGGATATCGTCGCTCAGAATACTGGAAAGGGCGGCAGATAAGGAACGGCTAGCGCTTACATGCTTTTTTTTGCATGCAGAACTGAGACCGCAGGAGCAGATCGACATATCACAGCCGCTGCAGTGGACACAACTCTCTCTCGCCCTTCAACACGCGAGACAGAATGGGGACCCGCCGACACCTTCGACAGTAGCGATACACATTCTCAAAGGACTGGACCAACGACTCCCAAAAGGTAAGAGATTCACTGACGAAAGTTTCTGGGCGGATTCACAAAACTGGACCATTGTACATCGTCCATCCCCCCCCACACGGCGTAGACACCGACGGGCGACATCCCAGGGGGCCACCCGAGCGCATTCGGACAGCGCCGCTACAATAGGTCGACACTGACATCTGACAGAATACACAGGTACCCCACACGTGTCACCCGACAGTCTCGAGTTAGGACAAAAGTGGCAACCTCCACAAATCGATACTGAGAGGTAAGACAGGATGAAGGGGGAATACGGCCAAGGGGCGGGGAGGGACGTACACAGGAAATATGATTGGGAAGGAATAGGTGCTGAGAGGAAGGAATGGAGGCAGGAGGACAAGATGGAAGATAAGGAGGAAGAAGAGAGAGAGAAGTAAAACTTTAAACTACGGATAGATGGCAACCGTTAGGAGAATAGAACGGGAATAGGATAGAGGAGGAGGGATTGACCGTCGCGACAATGGCGCTTACAGATACTTACTAAATGCAGTCACACACACCGCTTAGGAGAGTGTCACTCAACACACGGGGACTCGAAGCACGTTCAATACGTTGGAAAACACAGGAAACATGTCGCCTTGTAAACAAGGAGCGTATTCAAATCCTGTGTTTACAAGAGACGAAATTGGGGGAAAAACACCTGTGAGGGAGTGGAAGACCAGAACTGGGGGAAGACTTCCAATTATAAGCGCCTGCAGTAGGAACAAAAGGAGGGGTCACCATAATAATGACGAAACACTTCAGAGGAGTGGTGAGGGACCGATTTGCAGATTCCCAAGGTAGGTGGGCCTGGGTGTGGATTGAAATCGAAGGGCAACACTTTCTTGTGGCCACAGTATATGCACCATCGGATACTACTGATCGAAAGTGGTTTTGGAGAGAATTCCCAAACCACATCCCTGACGTCCTGAATATTATCATCACGGGGGATCTTAACACATTAGTTACTCCAGGTTTAGACTCGCCCAACTTTGGTTTACCAAAATTAGACGCGGGAGCACTTCAGGACTCGATGGCAGAAATGATACTGGAAGACGCATTCAAATCAATGTGGCCCGAAGAGAGAGGCTTTACATGAATAGGTTCGACCTCGGGAGGACGCAGTAGACTGGACATGACCTTGATGACGGCTGCATTAATACAAAATATCATTCGGATTGTCCCTCTCCCGGTCTCGCTGTCGGATCACAAAGCATTGCTCACAGAGGTCCTCGTGCATGCACAGGTGCAAACCCGCCCCCCTCCTGCCTCGGTACCTCATTGGATGTTCGAGGATTCGATGCATAATCGGCTGGTGCGTCAGCACTGGGAATTTTGGAATGCCATGCGGMCACACGATGCCTCTCCGACAGAACACCTGCATCTGGGCAYCGCTGCACTCACACGCATCATGAAAGCCAGAGCACAAAGCACAAAGCGAGCACACCTCCGGACAGGGCAAGGCTTTGCCGACCGGATGAACGCCTTGGGCACAGACCCACCGGAAGAGGAAGAACAGGAATGGGGGGCACAGTGGACTTCATTACACGCAGAATGGGAAGAATGGCAGCGCATAGATGCTGCCCGCTGGGGACTGGCCAACAAAGCACGATGGATAGGCATGGCGGAAAGAATGACTTCGGCATTCTTCCACCTCGCTCTAAGATCGAAGGTTGCAACAAGAATGACAACGCTGAAAAACACCCATCTTCCCACCAGGAACTGATGGCTGAGACCACACCACAGATCATCATCCGCTACGCAGAACTCTTCTATACAGAACTCTACACAGAAACAGAGCACTGGGAACAGGATCAAGTGAGGGAACAGGCATGGCCTGACGTTTGGTCGAAGTGTAGAACATCACTCACTCCACAACAGATTAGCATCCTGGAGAATGCTATAACACCGGAAGAGATCACGACAGCTCTGACAGACATGCCAAAGAATAAAGCCGCTGCTCCGGATGGAATGCCTATGGACCATCTGCATACAGCTCAGCATCTGCTGCTGCCGCTGCTTTGCGAATGCTTCAATGCTGTCTTCTTGGGAGACGATAGGTTCCCCCCGGGGCTTGGGGACGCCAATGTAGTGCTGTTGTATAAAAAAGGAGATCCGGCAAACATAAGAAATTGGCGCCCCATATCCCTCCTCTCAGCACCATATAAGCTGTATGCCAAAGTATTGGTAAACGGACTGGCGTTAGTCCTTCCCTCACTAGTACAATCCACGCAGACTGGCTTTGTGCCAAAGCGCAGGGAGGTGCTGCAGAGAGCAACGGGGCCGGATCAATCACTGGCGGTGCTGTTCTGGATTTCGAGAAGGCATATGACAGGATTCGTTGGAGCTTTCTGCTCCAAGGACTGGAAGAAAGAGGCTTCGGGCCGACATTCACAAGGGCGGTAAGCCGACTGTTGCACACAGCTAGAGCCTCAATACGGATTAACGGCTTTAGATCACCACAGATGACTGTTACGCGGTCTGTCAGACAGGGATGTCCGTTATCACCCGCACTGTACGTCCTCTATGTGGAACATCTGCACGACATGATTAGACAAAACGAAGACATTATAGGTCTGCAGGTCTCACCACAACAACAGCTCAAGTCTAACAGCTTTACTGATGACACAGCGCCAATTACCGACACATCTCAAGCAAGTACATCTGCGCTGCGAAACATTGTGGCGACTTTTGAACACTTCGCAGGAGCGCGAGTGAACTGGGACAAATCTACAGTCCTCCTTCCTTCGGAGACAGACCCGGGGAATTTTTAAGATATGCGGATCATCCCACAAGGCCAAAATACCAGATACTTGGGAGTGATGCTTCCAGCAGCACTTACTAACGGAGAACAGATGGAGGGCCTGCTTACTGAAGCCTTGAGGAAGATGTATAGATGGGCCAAAGGAGCGGAATTGGGAGTGATTGGCAGAACTATCATCGATAATAATGCAGTGTCATCCACGCTCTGGTATGTAGCACCTTCGTCTGCGCCAAAAAACCGAGCATGGAGGGAGTATAAAACGGCAATAAGAAGGTATCTATGGAAGAATGATCCGTACACGTCGCAGTTGATCTACAGAGTTCGTTGGGAGAAGTTGATTCAGCCCTGGGCGCAAGGAGGATTAGGAATGCTGGATCCGCATTTGGAGGCATCGACGTTGCAGATGCGGACAATCGCCTGGCTACTGCTGGAGAAAGATGACGCCTTGTGGAAGATTGTTACATTGGCCAGTATGGCACAAG